CAGAAGACTTAATAATCACTTGTCTACCACTAGCTCTTCAGGGTGGGCTAGAGTTCTAGAAGTAACTATCGAAAAAACGTGTTGTCAGCACTTCCTTTCCCTTAGGTGCACCCCATCATAGAGCCTTTGGGACACTATGCCATATGAAAAATAACTTCTGAAACTTTACTAGTAAATATGCTAATACTTAAACATAAGCTTAGAGAATGTGGCCAAGCCTTATTTTTTAAGTTGATTCAAGTGAAGCCAATTTTATGTAGAGGACTTCCAGCAAGTGTGATATCAGGCTTAAATCCTCTCCATTTGCTCCTTGGAGTTGAACAAATATTTGGTAGTAACTGACAAATAGACGTATTGCATTCCTTGGGAACGTGTTGTCAGAGCAACCTTGCCCCATGGGACACTATGCCCGTTCGCGAGGTGGGATGACCTTGGTAGGCTACCTTGTCTGATGTTGCATTTGACACATGACTCGGAGAAAGTCCACTCCTTTGACACTCGACTTGAAAATAAATCAAAGTTAATACATAGCACTAGAAAAACCCATATCTCCTACCGACAAAAAGCCGCCTTCACCCTCAGCTCAACACAATCAACCAAACTCTCAGATTTTATGCTAGCCCGCTAACATGTTTTGAAGATGAGTGCAATTTCCAAAGACTCAGCATCCCTTTATATAGGAGGGAGGGTGAATGAACCCGACAATGGTCTCCCAACAAAAACCTGTAGAAGGTCCCACCTTACCAACGTGGTTCAACAGTTAAAGTTGACATATCATTAAAGTGGCTTTAAAAAAGCATGTCTCGTTAAAAGTCACTAGATAAAAGCAAGATACCCAATTAAATACGATAAAAGAAGATCAACAACCATCTTCAATGCTCGAAGAACTCAAGCCTTACGGATGAAAGAGACTTAGCTCAAAAGGTGATCCAACTTATCAACAAAATCCATCATTTGAAACATCACCCTTGGCGCAAGTCTCCTTAGAGAATAATCTGGTCAAGCAATTTGAGTGGAGTTAAGATAATTTTCGTTAACCGATTCACAAACTTAAGACTCTCCTACGGGACGAGCAATCTAAAGATTCCACTTTGGGGCTAGCAATCTAAAAACTCCTCTCTAGTGCGAGCAGCCTAAAGACTCCCCTTCGAGGCGAGCATCTAAAGACTCCTCTCTGATACGACAACATAGAGACTCCTTTTTATATCAAAAACAAACCTCAACAAAAATAATACACAATGCACAAATGAGCTACAAGCATGAAATAAATTCGATCAAAATGTTCCAATTGATTTTCATCATGAATATTCCCGCTTTACAAAAGGTTTAAAAAAGCGGGAATCGAGAGGAAAAACTTCAAGGCATAGAAGTCGAAGAACAACCCTCCTCGACGGATTCTTGATCTTTGACAGGTTTTTTAGTTGGAGGGAAACCGGTCAATAACAACTTGACAAACTCGCTCAAATATGCATACTTTAGATCAATCATCCCCAGCTGAACAAACTGGTTGATGACAAATTTTGAGCTGCTTTAGAATTGATTTGACCGTTCCATTGCATGCTCTTCAGTTGTAACTGATGAACTGACCTTTACAGACAATTCATTGATTTTCTCCAGCACGACTGAGAGCCATTCCGAGGCTCCCGCTTCTTCCTCAAGATGAGTTTCAGCCTCATATGCACGCCGCAAGGCCTTCTTCAGACGGCTCTTCATAACTTTGACCTTCTTTTTTGCCCATGTTATCTCCGCCACAGCGTAAAAATACGAGTTAGACAGACAGTGGGACAACGTCACATCCAATAACTGATATATTTTTGGTCATTTGGAATAGCTCTAAAGTTTTCAAGTCGTCCAACTTTTCCTTAAAAATTTTGGACCAGAACATTTCCGCGAGCTCCGAGACATGGGACTCCACTTCCGGGGCGCACTGAAACCAGTCCCGCTAAATTTTGATGAGGGAGAATCGAGAATCCCTAGAAACAAAGACTTTTTTCCTCTTCTTCCGCATCAATACCCTCTCGCCACTACCATCTGTGAGGGAAGGGAAGGGTGAATGCTCATCACCTGCAAGTTATTTCTTCTTCCTTGGCTGAGATCCATCAGATAGGGAAATTGGTCTCTAGCTTAGTGCAAAGGGTAGCGCTACTCTGTCCTCAGACCCAACTCCTAATGCACCTAGACCTGCACTCCAACGAGCACCTCACTCCTCTCTTGTCGCAGGGTTAAGAGAAGGCTGACCGACTCTCTCTTTCTATCTAAGGTTGATAAAGCCTGCTGCATCAGGCCGGGGGTCCTTTTAAGCCTCGGTCGACGAAAGTAGCCTCGGCATCGAACCACAAGGTATATGGTGTGGCAGCCTTGTCGCTCCCTGTAACACTTGTCAGAATGCTAGGCTTTTTTTCAATCAAAGTTAGATCACTGTTTGAATCTGCTAAATTATGAGGTCGTTTCGAATGTAGAAATAAGAAGGTCCGAACATGGAATCTCTTCCAGGGACGCTTTCTCATCTTCCAAAAATTTCTTCATCCTCAGCTCTTTAGTGGATGCCTTAGTCGTCTTGTCAACCCGTCACCATATCACCTCTGTATCCGAGGCGGCTCATAACTCTCGAGTCATTCACCCGTGCTTACCTAGTTTCAAAACCCTATTCACTATGTCCTCGCATGTATATTGGGTGACATATAGAATTTTTTCTTCACCAGATGATGCAAAGCCCCTCATTTGGGGGGAGATATTCTCTCACTTGTGTGTTTCTCCAGACGACCAAACTTCTCAGAAAGAGCATTCAGATGCACTTTCAGCTCGTTTACATTGGCTTCTGTCCGAGCTTTAGCTTAGTAGGTGAAGAAGTCCACCATTCCGTCTATGTACCGAACCACATAATCAGTTGACTCCGTTTCAACGATCATCGGTTGGTTCCTTTTAGTATTTTAAGGAGTTGACGCCTGATCTTGAACAACTTCCATCAAGATAGAGACATGGACCGTGTTGGCTACACAAAAAAATAAAGTCAAGATAGGTTGAGAAATATCGCCTTTACGGATGAACCAACAATCAGACTCGTACCAAAGAGTCGATCAACTTCAGGCCAAAGCGAGGATGAGAAACTCACCAGGCATGGGTGGAGCACCTGCAACTCCCTTTTCCCTTATCTAAGGACCAACCATGTCCTTTTCCTTAAGCGACATGCTCTGGGGAGCCTGCCGAGTATTCTCCGCCAATCGATCACTGGACGCAACTGATTCTTCAGCGGAGTGGTGGCCTAGCCTCTCGCGGACTTTCGATGCGCCAAAGGAACATCACCAGGTGAATAATTTTCGTCATCACCACAATCGGAAGGCACCCATCTACTACCTACCTTTTTATTCTATTCCTCTGAGCATGCTTGTTGCTCTCGATGTGTTTTCCTCGCTCGTCGATTAAACTACTTTTGGTATGGCGACTCTCAATTGGGTGGGGGGGAGGAGGGTGCAAAGGACAGATCTTCTCCATGGGTAGTTCGAAGGCCATCAAGAGGTCGTTAGGTGTTTCCTCGAAATTGTTCATTTTACCACTCGCCATCAGAGCACTTGTTGCAAAGAGCAATCAAAGCCTTGAACCAAGGGGAAATGTGGGAACCCCACTCATTGATGGAAATCTATTTATAGTGTGGTGGAGCATGTAAATCCAACGAATCTAATTATTAAATGCTGATTTTAAGATTAAATTTACATTTAATACAACATTTAATTTTCATGTTTTTATCACAACCATTATTTTCAAAAAACAATAAAGTTGGGAATCTAAATATGTATGATCAGATTATAACAACACATATCTTGATCAAAAGCTGAGAAACACGACAAACAAAATGGGTCCCCAATCAAGATGTAACAGAACCAGCCAAGTCAGATAATCAAGAGTTAATTCCATAGTAAGGAAATTGTCATAGGACTCTGTCAAGTCGTTCACTTAATCAACGGGCCAAATAGTAAAGAGGACAAATGAGAGACTCTCGAAGGGAGGCCTGAATGAAAGGCATCTTACCGCTCGACAAACAAGGTGAAGTCATTGGAATACTAGGCCAAGGAACTCTTATACCATCTTCACATGATTCGCCCAGTGATAACCGAGCCAACAAGTGCAGGCCAACGTATAATAAGCATGCTACCTGCAGTCAGTAATTGTTTATTAATCTAATCAACTGTACCATGTAAATGACCATCATGCCATTAAATTCTCTACATAGGAAAAAGGGCCAAAATGTAATAATATAACAAAAGTGTCTCTTATACATATAAATAGGAGACCATTTTATTAGAAGAGACTTTGTTGACTCTCATTTTTATTGTTCATTATTTTCTATCACTTATCTTACGTGTTCCATTCCGTAAGTGTAGTTCCCAAATATTTTTGAGTTCAACACATAAGATTGCGTGCTAAGTATCTAAATTTCCGCATATATTAATGATGTAATTATCCTGTTTAATTAAATTAAATTTATTTTTTATATTATGTTAATCAATAAGTAACTATTTTTTGAACTAATTAGTTAGTAAAAAGTTTGTTAAACTAATTAATCAGTAGGGAATATTTTAATCATTATTTAGTTATTTAATAAAATAATTAATCATTCATTATTATTAAATTGATTAAACATTAAATTATGATTTAATTTTTTAATTAATCATGAATTACTTACATAATAAAAGCATATTAATTATAACTGTTTAAAGTAAAATAATTAATAATTAATCAAATTAATTTGATATAATTTATTATTTATTTTCTTAAGTTATAATTAAGGGTATTTAGGGTAGCTTATGAGTTTCAGGATAAACATCTTATTCTGAAATTCAGCCCACGAACGGGTCACGGGCTCGATCCACGACCTGTATTTATTATAAAAATTCAAACACGATTCCAAATAAATGGGCCAAACACGAGTTGTTTTAAAAACGACCCCAGCCCTTTAAGAAGTTTTGAAAACCACTGCACTTATAAACTGCCCCAAAGGGCAAACCTCCCCCCTTTCCCCCTCCAGCCCTAAACCCCTCGGTGACCGTCCCCGCTCTACTGGTTTCGCCTGAAGCACTCTCCCATCGTCCCCTTTCCCCACTCCTGCCCGAAAACCTCGTGTCAGGATCGTGGTGTACGAAGACCTCCGAACCTCCCGTCTTTCTACTCGTTCAGCTCTGCTCCAACTCGAAACCATTGAGGAAAAGAAGCGAGAAGTTGCAAAGGAAACCCTCGTATTTTCTACCACTCTAAAACCAGTTAATCAGCCTGCCAACAGGATTGAAGGTAAAACTAGGGAGAGAGACGGGATTTAGCCTTCAGGATTTAAGTTAAAGCTTGTTTAAATTTTTCTCCAGTTCTACTCCTCATCCAGTTCAACGCTGCTTAGTTTTTGGCTGCCATCATCGAGGTCACTACCATTGTTGCAGCGTTCTTCATTGGTTGGTCAAATGATATAAAATGTTCTATTTATGTTTGGCTTTACTAATCATTCTTTATATAAAAAAAATATGGTTCATGATAGTTATTGTGAGAAGTGCTGAAGTTGTAACCTCAATTATCATTGAAATCTCTCTTTTCGCGGACGTATGCGAATCAATTTAATATCGAACACGAAAATTTGTTGTGTTTGATTGTTGTTGTGTGAATTTCTTGGTTTCTGCATTGTTTTGCATAATAATAATTGGTATCCGAGCTTTGAGTGCGTGATCGGAGCGTAGTTCAGTTTCGACAGCAGCAAATCCGACATTTGTTTCCGGCAGCTGGTCTGACGTGCTTTGCCGGTAGATATTGAGGTTCGGCCATAGACCGGCGACATACCGATGGCTTGGACATGCAGTTAGAGTGATTGCAGGAATTTGCGGTCGGTCTGACAGTCAGATGACGATTCCAACGGAATTGGCGACAACAGGCGATAGTCCTAGCGGAGCTTCCGACGGTAATAGGTATTCTGTTTGATGAATTTTTTTAGGAAGAAAATTTCAGTGATGAGAATAATGAATATTAGCACGATTTCAAGTTTTTTAACATTCATTATGACAGTGTAAAAATTGATTCATGAGGTGGTTACACATCCCGTCAAAATCGATATGATGAAATTCAACGATAAAGAAAATTTTGACATGTGGCTATGCGAGGTGATGAATGCGATGTGCTTTTTGAATCTTGAGAAAGTCCTGGATAACAATGAATGTTCTGAAGAGACGCCAGAGAGAGATTGATTCAAGATGGACCAGGGTGCATGTGGATTGATCTAAAATTGTTTGATCTAAGAGATCAAATATGGAGTGATAATGGAAACTTCCGCATGGAACTTGTGAAGGATGTTGAAGAATATATATCTCACGAAAAGCGTGAAGAATCATCTCTATATGAAACGTCAATTTTGCAAATTTCAAATGAGACGTGGGTTATTATTGATGAGCAATTGAATGACTTCACAAAGCTGTTAACAGATCAATTAAATTTGGGTGAAATGTTGAGAATGAAGACAAGACACTCTTGTTGATTTTGTTCTTAAATGAGTACAAAATTTTCATAATGATACTCATTTATGGGAATGAGATCTTGAATTATGGTGAAGTGACTACGACACTATGAAATCACGAGTTCCGTCGAAGAAACAATGAGTTCGAAAAGATGGAGTCAGCTGAGACACTTACAGTCTAACGTGACATATCTGAGAAGATGAAAAATTAATAAAGAAATGTGACAATGTCGACACTTTTGAAAAGTGGGATTAATCTCGTGGGTGTAATTTTAAAAAAAGTCAGCGTACTTTCAGTTTAGAGACTGATCATTGAAAAAAAATTGTCTGAAGCTGAAGAATGTAAAGTAAGTTGCATCTGAGGCGAAAACCAATTTCATTTTAGACATCTGTGAAAAGACGAATTCAAATGTGTTGTTATCTGCAATTTCTTATAGTTTATTAACAGATGATTCGTGTTGGATTCTGGACACGGGTGCTACCTATCACATTTGTCCTTATCGACGGTGGTTCTGTAAGTACAAGAAGATGGATAGCAGTGCAGTAATTATGAGTTACGATCAAGTTTGTTGTACTATTTATGTAGGGAATATCTTTATCAGAATGCATGATGATACTGCGAGGGAGCTAATCTATGTTAAACATGGTTCAAATGTCAGAAAGAATTTACTGTCTGTTGGAGCTTTAGAGTCATAGGGCTATAAGATACTTATTGAGGCAGGAGTTGAGGATATTTCTTGGAGCACTAGTGTTTATGAATGGATAGCAATGCCAATATCTTATGTACTAGATATAATTGTCGAGTCTTTCTGTCACGACTTGCCTAGTACTTAGAATTAACTTAGGCTGGAACTTCGGTCAGACAGTATTACATTTCTTTTTATTTTTCATAAAACTTTATGAAACTTCCAATATATGTAAGAGCTACTTATCTACGACGTGCAATAAAATTTAATTTAAAAAAGCACCAACATCATCTGTAGATAATTATCTCAAATCAACATATAAAGTGTCTATATACAAAAGTAAACATTAAAAGAAAACTAAAATCACACCATAAACTAGTATCTATCAACTGTAATTCTACTCATATAAACTAAGGGTCCGTTTAGGACAGCTTGTGCGTTTCAGGATAAGCTGCTTATCCTGAAACGCGGCTCGTAAGCCGGCCGCGGGGGTCGATTCGCGGCCTGCGTTTAGTGTAAAAACCCAAACACAGTTTCAGATAAGCTGGTGAAACGCGCGAACCAAACGGTACGACGACGTTTTGGAAACGTCGCCCGCACTTATAAGCTGCCCCAAACAGACCCTGTCTCTCCTACCGCACATATCAACCTAATTTTTTTTTCCTGAAAAAAATCATTAATTGTAACCATAAGTATGACTTAATGAATAATTATAATCTAATATGCATAAATTCTTATGTTATGCTATGCATGAATGACCAAAAGAAAAATACAGTTCATTTATTTATAAAGTCTTGAACTTTTACTTTGATTTTATTCTTTCCCATTTCACTTTATATATTTAACATTTTAATCTCTTTAATAATCATAATAAGATTACTGTTATACTAGAACGTATCCTAAAAAATATGCGTGAAGGCTCCCTCAAAATTGTACTTCAAGCTACCCTCAAATTATACTCGAAGGTGTATCTTTATCATTTTTTTAATGTGCACTGGTGCATTGCATCCTCTGCAAGTACCGTTTAGATGTAATTCTTTATGTCTTAATTTTTTAATATTTCATATCAATTAAAACCTTTTAAAATTTACTTTCACACGTCAATTATTTTTTCCCAATTGTGATATCATTTCAAACTTTCAAAATGTCAGACATCAATGAAATATTTGTTTTTAATCATTTAATAAAATAATTATTCATTTAATAAAACATTAATTGTATGCATAAAAAAATAATCACTCATCTTTGCTTACAAGAAACTTCAGAAATAGCTTAACCCTTCAATTTAAATATATATCCTTGAATCAAATATAATCCTCAGTTTTACTGATAAAATTAATATCCACCTCATGCTATTAAAATAAATATATAAATAAAAATTTAAACAATTAACTCAATTTTTCTCTTGCTTTCTCCTTAAAATTCATGATCCAAAGTCCTAATCTTTGAATCAAACTTTCTTAAATCCCAGTTTTAGATTATAATATTAACATTAAAAGAAATGTATTAATTATTACAAAATTTAAACATATACTATATTAATCAAAAACTCTACTCTTATGTTTATAAATCTTGATTCGGTCGACACTTGCACCCATGCTACCACATGAGCCTCTCCTGCTAATGGACTCGACTCAACACAATGCAAATTTCTCCTTCCTCCAATTTCTTCCTAATCCAAGTGTATTTATGATTAACATTAAATGAATAATCTTAATTATGTAATCATTAAATTATTCTAAACCATTTTTCCTTATGTACTGTTTGGCTGCCCGAAAATCACATACGAAAGGCTTCAATCCCCTTCTTCTCGCACAGTAGCTTCCTTCCTTCGCCTTCTTCGGTTTTGGCTCGATCTAGAGCCCCAATCCTTTGCACGACTCGACAGTCTCGCGACTTCCTTACTCCTCTCAATTGCGGCTTCCTTTGTACGCGAGTGCAACACGACAATCGATTGACGTCACCTTCTCCTTCCACTGTAAGTAGGGCTCAACGTCAAAGGTTTCCTTCTTCTTCTTTAGCTTCTCCTTCTTACTACAACTTCTTCTTCACTCTATTAGGGCATGATAGAAACGTCACACTTTCTCTTCTTCCTCTTTTTTCTTCTTTCAATCAGTTAGGGAACGCATAAGATCTTTCCCCCGATCTCTCTATTCTACCTCTCAAGTGCTTGTTCGATGGTTCGAATGGTGTAATATGACTCTCAAGTCGTAGCCGAATAGGTGCTTATCTTAGTGCCTATTCGAATTTTTATTAATATTATTATTTTTAATCTTTTTGTCATTACACTTTAGTTGTTGTGGAATTTTTTCTTCCAAAACAACTTTATTTTAATGTGCCATCAAGTGTTGAAATTTTTTTTTGGGAGTTCAAAATTTATTAAAGGCTACTAGAATCAAATCTGGAGAATTTCATTCATGTTCTTTTATGGCGTTATATTGGATTTCACAAATTAGTGTGGACATATTCTGCAAATCAACTACATGAAATTTGACCTGCTTTTCTCAGGGAAGTTTCTCTCCTACACCTTTTTCGATTCTCATGATCTTATTGATCAAAATGGACTTTGATTTCTTTTTTCTAGGTAGAAATTATTTTTGGATCGGTTAGAATACTTACCAATTTCAAATGAAGCTTGTTTTTTATATGTTTTCCTTGTAGGAATATTTCTAATCAATGTACAAAATACTTTATTGTTGAAGTTAGCACAAATAAATATATATGATATAATACAATTAAAATCTATATTTGGTAGAGGATACAAGCCATTTGGGCATGTACGTTGACCTTCTTGGAGTCATCACAGCCCATTTATTAACTTATCACTATAATAATGTTGTACATATATTTGTGCATCAGACTTCTACAACAACAACAAAGCCTTGATCCCACTTAAGTGGGGTCGGCTACATGAATCCTTTCTCTCCATTGCGTTCTATTTAGTGCCATATTGTCATTTAATTCTAATAAATTAAGATCATTTTTATACAATAAGCCCAGGTCTTCCTAGGTCTACCTCTACCTATCTTAACATAAGTCGAATATAAAACATCTACTCTCCTAATCAGATCATCAAATGGCCGACGTTTAATGTGACCTAACCATCTAACACGACTCTCTGTAATTTTGTTCGTCACTGGAGCTACACCAACCATATCATGGATATAATCATTTCGCATTTTATCTCTAACTGTAAAGCCACTCATCCACCTAATCATTCTCATCTCATCAACACTTAACTTAGTTTTTGGCTTCTCCTTTAAAGGCC